GTGTTATGTCATGTGTTGTTATGGTGTCGTATGTTCTGTCCTCGTCCCCTTATGGTATCCTCTGTTCCGGCATGTAATGTTATGTTATGTTGTGCACTGTTATGTTGTGCTCTGCTCTGTTGTGTTCGTCGAGTGCGCGGGGAGACGGGATCCTCGGGGGGCGCCCGGTGGTCCTGGGGTTCTGGCGGCCGCGGTATGCAGGATGGGCGGTTCGGGCGGCCCGTTCGGAACACCTAGCGACTCAAACCTGTCGTGTGGCGAACTGTACCATCATGTTCGGGGATGCGCCTTTGGCTTCTGTTCTGTGCTGTTATGCTGTGTTATGCTCTAGCATGTTACGTTACGTTGTGCACTATTCTGTTATGCTCTGTTCTGTTGTGTTCGTCGAGTGCGCGGGGTGGCGGGATCATCGTGGGACGCCCGGTGGTCCTGGGGATCTAGCGGTCGCGGTCTGCAAAATGGGCGGGGCGGGACGTCTGTTCTGAAAATCCAACAACCGGAACCCGTAGGATGGGGATCCATCCGTCCAACTCGTTCCCTCTCCCATCATCTCCCTCCAACCAATTCCTCTTTTCTGCCATCTGCCTGCGGGCAAGAATCCGGCATGGGGGCAATGCAAATTCGGTGTTGCACTTCTTGCACGCCCTAAATCGCCATCTTCTCACTTCTGTTTGACCGGATGTAGGCGTAAATGCTTGTCAGCATGTGATGGAAACCCGACATATTGGCCTCGAATGCCGATATCTCTGCCTTGATAGCAGCATCGTTCTCTCTGGACTTCTCGAAGCCAAACTCCGAATCCAGGAATGCGAACCCCGCGGCCATCGACAGCGCCGCCCTGACGAATACAGACTGCAAGGATTCCTTATTCAGGACAATGCCCGGCCAGACCTTGATGCCCCAGCGGCTCCCACCATTTGCCCGCTCCAGCAACGTCTCCGCCGCCTGCAACTGCACGTGCAGCGCAGGCGCAGTGCCGCGCACTTCGGCGAGACGATCGAGTAAGCCGTCCAGCGCCGATGATACGCGGAGCGGCCCCATGGCGACGGCGAAGGCCACACCACCAGTCTCGAAAACGCAACAGGCTATATAGAGGAACCATGCTACTGTTCGGGCACTCTGGTCAACGAAGCCGATCTTCAGCTGTAGGTAGATCTGGATGCTATTCCACAGCATGAGCATCGTGAAGCAGAGACATGGGACACCCAACGATGCGAGCTGGGGCCCAGTGTCGTTGACCAGCTCCGCACATGGAGCGTGGACTTGCTCCGAGAAGTCATCGGCCTTGCAGGGGAGCGCATTCTTTATCTGCTGAATGCGGTGATCAACCGCACCAAGTATGCGACTGTTCGTAGCGACAATTTCCAGGACCGTCATGTACGCCGGTATCCAAGCAAGCTGGCTACTGGTGTAAGCCCACAACTCGAAGTCCTGGAATCCTCGAGATCTGTTGCCATAGTAGTTCACTGCCCTTAAAACCCGGAGCAGGACCGTGACGGTAGCCACCAACCATGCGCCCTTGTTCTCATAGCGGCACCTGGCTCGGCTCGTCAAAAGCCACTCCGCCGCCCAACATGGCCAACGTTAAACTCGCTACCCACCACTGCAAAAACGTGCGGTTGACTCCGTCCTCTTGGTCTCCCCCTGGGGCCACCCTACCTTTGATTTCAATGCGAATCAAACCTGCCCAGACCCAACATGCAATCATCAAAAACCCAACCCCAGAACCCGCAGTTGTTTGCATTTCCTGATGAATCGGAAGTTGGGGGGGAAACGACAGGAAAACGGTTTCGGTTCCGGTTCGTGGCGCGCACGCGGTTGAAGCGAAGCCGGGCGAGGGCGATGATGTCTCGGCCGCAGCGAAAGCCAACTCGGACAGAATGTCCCGCGCGGTTATCACGTGACTTGTCCAGTGGTTGTCCTGTGGGTTGCCAGGTAGTTTGGGAGGGGCGGGAGTAGGAGGGTAAATGGAGGGGAGAGATGGAGAAGGGAAGAGGAAGGGGAAATGGGAGAGAGCAAAGGAGACGGAGGAGGAGGAGGAGGGACATGAGGAGGAGTAGGAGGAGGGACATGAGGAGGGTGGCGCCAATGTTTAGGGGGGATTGCGAATCCAAAACGACGCCAATCGCAAACCGAAAGCTTCATCCCCCAACCTTCTGATCACCCGAACTGTGTTCTATACGTATATGAAATTACCTTGATTGATTTCCCAACTCACCTGGCTGTGGCAGTCTCTGGCAATCGACTCCCCAGCAGGGGATTGGCCAGAGTGCTGACGAGGCAGTACAGGAGGCCGAAGTGGAAGAGCACAAGTGCTACGAATCCCATCGCGTCAAACATAGTCCTATTCATGAGAAGGTTGATAAAACATCGACATGCGTAAGATCCCCGAGAAACCATGACTGCTGGGTGAGTCAAGAACTTTGCGAGCGGATTCTCCTGCCAAGCGGACCCCATGCGTTGGTGGGACTGGTAGTACGGGACCATAGCGAGCAAGAGATAACATCCAACTACTGCCGCAGGGACCTTAATGCACACGGTCGTCTTCACAATGGTGGTCGTCGTCCGATACACCGTGAGCGTATATGGCACCTTGCCGCTCCGCAGCCGGGCAAAATACCCTGCTTTGAAGGGGTTGCCGTTCACAGCTACAATACGATCTCCTCTTCTGAGGCCTTTCTGCTCCGCCACTGAACCTGAGCTCACCGCCTTTATCCGGGTTCCCGCGAGAGATAAGCCTTCATCCCCAGGCTCCAGGGTGACGGTGCGGCGAGGCGCGCTGAAAAAACTACCAGGCTGGTCCATGCTCGGTGGAACTGCTTCGGGGGCTGAGGCCGCGCTGGTTGCAGTGCCCTCGGCGCTAGTGCTAGCGCCATCGCTGGCGGCGCTGCTTTTTTTTTTATCTTTTCGAAGAGACTCCTCGTTGGGTGCTACGGCGGCAAAGACGTCGCCCTCGAGGTCGACGCCGAAGTCACGCATGGCGGCCAGCGGCCACGCACAGGCGAGGAGCCACGCAAGGGCGCGCACGGCGGTGCGGGCGCCAGGGCCTGTGATACCGAAAGGCGCGATGAGGATACGCAGCGCCGAGGCCCCTCGACCCGCGCTGAGGCCTGCGAGCAAATGTACATGCGCTTGAGCCTGCGCGGCTAGCGGCCGAGGTCGGGGCCCCGGCGACCTGCGAGCCCGAGCGCGGCCTGGGCAGGGCGCGGAGCCGCGGGCCCCCGACGGCGCGTCGAGGGCCCCCCGCGCGGCGGCCGGCGGCGACGAGCAGGCAGGTCAGGGATTTGCACGCGCTGGCCACGGCGGCCGCGGCGCACCACCGCGCCCGCGCTGCGACAGAGGAGGGGGGACAACGCGAGCCAGGCGCTGATGCTCGGCGGAGGAGCGGGGAGGGGGAACTGAACTGGTGGGTTGGGGGGGGGGGGGCGGACCGAGGAGGGGGGCAGGGGCAGGGAGACCCGGGTGAGGACGACAGCGAACGTTCCCTGGGAGGAAACGCCGAGGGTTATGTCGGGCGTGCACTCCTGCAGGCGGATTTGGACGAAAATCAACATCACAAATCGTTACTCACTGTGTGGAGCTCCCCATATGTGCATCTATTCGCATGGACCTGTCCGCCGTGAGCGTCTAGGCGCAAGAGTGTTCGAAGATAAACGGGCTTGAGTATTGACGGCCTGCGAGTGAATCTAAGTGTGACAGAGTTGGAGTGTGAATGAGTCTCAGGGACTCCTGTGGCCTTCTCAGGCTTTCTGCTCCTGGGGCCTCCCGGAGCCTCCTAAGGCCTTCCAGGGCCTCCTGGTACCTCATGGCGTTTCCTGTGGCCTCCTGTGGCCTCCCGTGGCCTCCTGTGGCCTCCTGGTGTTTCCTGAGGCCTCCAGTAGCCTCTTGGGGCCTCCTGTGGCTCCCTGTGGCCTCTTGGAGCATCCTGGAGCCTCGTGAAGCCTCGTAAAGTTCCTGGGGCCTCCTATTGCCTCTTGGGGCCCCCATGTGGCCTCCTGATGCCTCCTGGGACCTCCCGTGGCCTCTGGGGCCTCCTGGAACCTGCTGGAGCCTCCTGCGGCATCCTGGGGAGGATCCGTGCCCACGAGTCTGGCCAGCAACACAAGCAAACCGCTCGAGACATCCTCGCAATCTGGGCCACCAGGGGTGCGAGAACCAGCGCCTCTTCGAGACATCCTCCATATCTGCTCCGAAAGCGGAGGAGGTTGGGCATACAAACAAGCAGACCGCTCGAGACATCCCCGCAATCTGGGCGCGGACGGAGGCCGTGAGATACCCCTGGCTGCCCCCCCTTTGGAGTGCTGAGGCCAGCAGACCGCTCGAGACATCCTCGCAAACTGGCCCCCTCTGGTCGTCATCATCATCATCAGCAGCATCATCACCATTATTATCATCACCACCCCCCATCATCGTCATCATCATTATGATCATCACCATCATCATCGTCATCATCATCATCATCATCATCACCACCATCAGCATCATAACCAGCATCATCAGACTCCGAGGTGGATGGGGAAGAGAAGGAGGAGAGGAGGAGGTGACCTGAAGGAGTCGGCGCGGTCAGAGTCATAATGATTCACTGCGTGGAGCCCCCAAAATGTGCATCTATGTTCTTGGACCTGTCCGCCGCGTCTAGGCGCAAAAACGTTGGAATATTCACGGGCGGTTTGACGGTCTGGGAGCGACTCTAACTGTGAACGAGTTGGAGAGTGAATGAGTCCCAGTAGTACGAGCGCGTCTCTGCGCATGACCCTGGGGCCTTTGGGGCCTCCTGAAACCTCCCCGGGCTTCCGGGAGCCTCCTGGGGCCTCGTGTGGCCTCCTGGGACCCCTGGAGCCTCCTGGGACATCATGGGGAGGATTCGTGCCCCAGGAATGACCCAATCCATAGGAACAGACGTACATAAAACACCCCGGATTCGAGCCACAGGAGAAGGGCAATCTATAGGAACACACGTAAAACGCCAAGGACTCGTGCCCCAGGGGAGGCCCAATCTGTAGGAACAGACGTAGGACATTTAGGAGTTGATGCGCTTTTTAAGAGCACACGGCTCGCGCAGCACGAGCCGTTCGATCTGGAGCGCCAGGGTGTGGGACGTCACCAGGGGCGCCCCCGCAGGGTACCCGCCTGGCCGCGCCAGCCCCAAAAGGGCCAGGCCACCGAAGTCCCTCCCCTGTGTCCCGCCCGCCGCTGGGCCGAGGCTGACACCTGCTCGACCGAGCAGCTGAAGTCCGCAGCTCGACCGAGCAGCTGAAGTCCGCAGCATCGCCACGGGCGCTCACGCGGGGTACCCTCCTGGCCGTGCCGACCCACAAAATGGCCAGTCCACCGAAGCCACTCCCTCAGGGCCCTGGGCGGGATGCTCTACACAGCGCTGGCAGGCCTCCAGCTCACGGACTCCAGCACCTGCCGAAGTTCTGCGCTGAGCTGAGGCCCGTAGCCAGGCGCCTGTCGGAGGAGGCCGTCGGCGAGCGCGAAGCACTCGCTGAGGCCGTCCCCCGAAGCCGCAGATCCGCCAGCCTCAGGCGCCGCCACCGTGGGCGCCGAGTCCAGCTCCGCCGCCGCCTTCGACTGAGCGCGCCTCGGCCCGCGCCGCCGCGGAGCGGCACCGCCAAGGCCGTCGCTCCCGAGGCCGCCAGCCCATCGGCCCTCCCGAGGCGCTGGGCCGAGCTGCACGAGCTCGAGGCCCCGAGCGCCGCCGACTCCGTCACGGGCCAACCGTCCGCCAGCCACCACCCCGCCGCCCGCGCCACCAGGAGCTGCACCAGCCGCCTCCCGAGGCGCGACTACGAGGGAGTTGGCGAACGAGTCGTCCTCCATGTCGTCGTCGTTGTCGATGCCGCCAAGGGCGGGGTCCGCCGCGCCGCCAGCCGCCACTCCAGGCGCCACGGCAGCCGAAGCCGCCGCCTGCGCCCACCAGGGAGCCCCAGCGCCACCGCCAGCAGAACCTCCACCATCACGACCACGCTCCTGCGCGCGCCGAGCAGCCAGGCGCTCGCGGCGTCGGCGGCGCCGCACGCGCTTCGCCTCCGCCGCCGCCCCCGCCTTAGGCTCGCCGTCGCCGTCGTCCGCCTCCGAGCCGTCAGCACCAGCAGCGCCATCGCGCGCGGGCCGCGGGCGCGCGACAGCGGATGCTGCCGCCCTTGCGACGGCGCCCACGGTGCGCCGCGGCGCTCAAGCGAGCTGCGCCGCGCGGACCGCCGCCTCCACGAGGAGGGCGGCGTCCGCGGCGCAGATGGCCCCTCTAGACCCCGCCATCCCGGCCCGGGCTCCCGAAGGAACCACACCGGACGGCGGCGGCCATGCGATCGCTTGAGCCAAAATGGCTTGAGCCAAAATGACTACGGAGGAGGAGCTGATACGAAAGAATAGGACTCTCTGTAGAAACATACGGAAAACACGGAGGATTCGTGCTACAGGGAAGGCTCGATCTATATGAGCATACGTACAACACAAGGGATTGGAGCCACTCCTGTGGCCTTCTGAGGCCTCCTACTCCTGGGGCCTCTTGGGCCCTCCTGCTTCCTGTGGCCTCCTGGGGCCTCCTGTGGCTTCCCGTGGCCACCTGGAGCATCCTGGGGCCTCCCGTGGCCTCCTGGAGCATCCTGGGGCCTCCCGAGGCCTTCTGGAGCTTTCTGGGGCCTCCCCGAGCCTCTTGAGGCATTCTGTAGCCTCTCGAATCCTCCTGTGGCCTCCTGGTGCCTCCTGGGATCCCCTGTTGCCTCCCGGGACCTCCTGGAGCCTGCTGGAGCCTCCTGTGGCATCCTGGGGAGGACCTGTGCCTACGAGTCTGGCCACCAAAACAGGCAAACCGATCGAGACATCCTCAAATTCTGTCCCCTCTTGGGGGTGAACATGAGCGCCTCGCTCGAGACATCCTCAGCATTTGCCCCGATAGCGGAGGATGTTGCGCATGTAAGCAAGCAAACCGCTCGAGACATCCCCGCCACTTTGGCGTTACGGAGGAATGATACACCCCCTGGCGTCTCTTCCTTGGGGGTGCTGTAACCCGCGCCTCGCTTGAGACATCCTCATACTTTGCCCCGCCATCATCATCATCATCATCATCATCATCATCATCATCATCATCATCATCATCATCATCATCATCATCATCATCATCATCAGCAGCATCATCCTCATCCTCATCCTCATCCTCATCCTCATCCTCATCCTCATCCTCATCCTCATCATCCTCATCCTCCTCATCCTCCTCATCCTCATCCTCATCATCCTCATCATCAGCAGCAGCATCATCAGCATCATCATCAGCATCATCAGCATCATCAGCATCAACAGCATCATCGACATCATCGTCATCATCATCATCGTCGTCATCGTCATCATCAGCATCATCATCACCATCATCACCATCATCATCACCACCATCATCATCATCATCATCATCATCATCATCATCATCATCATCATAAGCATCATCGTCACTGTCATCATCAGAAGCAGCATCAGCATCATCAGCATCGGCATCATCACCACTATCATCGTCATACTCTGAAATTGATGGGGAAGAGAAGGAGGAGGGGAGGAGGTGACCTGAAGGAGTCGGCGCGGACAGAGAAATAACAAGAACCCCATCTTCTGGAGATGGGGAACACGAACCCCATCCTTCGGATTTTGGGAAATATTCAGAATAGTCAAAACTAGTGAAAAGATCATTCCCATGTCATTGTTCTACTAGTTTTGAATATTCCTCCTGTAGAGGTACATGCCCGCCTTAAGCCGAGGGTGAACAACAGCGGGCCTGGCCTCCAAGCCCTGCGCAGAGACCTACCTCCAGGGTGAGCGCAGGCGGCCGCACAACGAGGGCCATTTCCCCACAGGACGCAGCGATGCTCATGCATGGCCGACGTCGAAGAGGAGGGGGAGGGGCAATAAGGGAGGAGAGGATGCTGTGGAGCATCAGCAGCATGGGGGAGGCCGCGGAGGGGGGGGGGGCAGGCGGGACAGGGAGGGGGAAGAAGGAGGGGCACGTGGGAGAAGGGAGCAGGCATGAGACAGGAGGTCTGATGCGAGGAGGAGGAGGAGGAGGAGGAGGAGGAGGAGGAGGAAAAGGAGGAATGAATGAGGGGCGGAGAGGTTCGATGGGGGGGAGAAAGACAAGCATGATGATCAGGATGGTTTTGAGGACGATGGGGAGCAGGACGCGGAGGACGAGGCGGGAGGGATGAACGTACGAGCCCATTGCGAGAGCAATCCGCCCCGCTCAGCTCCTAGACCAGAATGGACATGCCAATGTCGCTACCCCGAACAAGTTCCTGGCCGAGGTCTTGCAGTCGGCAACTCTGCCGGCACCCTCGGGGCTCTGGGATTCTGCAGTCATCGTGCCATGAGGGAGGTGTATAAGGAACGAAGGGGCCTTTCTGGCCCCGGTGAGCCACTGGTGAACTTGTTTTCCACCGCCACCACCATAAGTAGGAGGGGGAGGGGGTCCTCCTCTTCCTCCTCCTCCTCCTCCTCCTCCTCCTCCTCCTCCTCTTCCTCTTCATCCTCCACCTCCTTCCCCCCTCCAACTTCTGGTGGTGATGTAGAAAACAGGCCCATCAGCCACGGCCACGAAGAGGTTCCCCGACCTAGATCTGACGAACGGCCCGAACACAAGAGCCGCTCCTGAGCTCGGAGTTGTCCTTCTTTCAGCGTCTTGACCACAGCGCCACAGCTACAGCTCTCCAGCCCACGAGCACTCGAAAGGCCTCCGGAGGGACGATGGAGGAACGAAGAACGGCATAAGCATAAACTTTTGACGGTCCGCGCAGATTTCTTGTATCTGCGCTGGGCCCTCACCCCTGGCGCGCGGAGCGCGCCAGGGGTGGCGCAAAGGGCGCCGCCAGTGGGGCCCCAGCGCAGATCCGAGAACTCCGGGCGGATCGCCATGAATTTATGTTTATGCCGACCTTTTGCCCTCCGAGATGAAACCGGCGACCACAAGAGAGCGCGGACGAGGATGATGGCGAGGAGGCGCGCCGATCGACTCGGCACCCAAGCAGCACAAGTGCACGGCGCAGCGCAAGCAGCTCCGGGGACCAGAGATGGGCGTCCCGGGACATCCGTGCGGCGTGAGCGTCGGCGACGGTGGACCCATACGATAAGAATCCTGCTATGAGAAATCGTAGGGCACACTCGTTGTCGACCCTTGAGGGTCCTACGGTCAGGAGCTCTCGCCCCTGCATGCCGTGGTCGCAGCGGCAGCCTGGCGCCACGCTGTGCCTCGCAAGCAGACAGCGTGTCGCTCCGCTCTGCGGGGCGGGAAGCTGGGAACCGCTTAGGACGCCGACGCTTGGGTTAGGTCGGGCATGTCCCCCTACAGGCAGGCTGTGGAGGAAAAATAAAAGTCAACAAAATATTCATACATGATCAAACATAGTCAAAAAAAGCGTCCCCGACTATTTTTGGACTATTTTGAAAACTCCTCATGTAGAGGGGCACGCCCGACTTCACGCTTGGGGATGGGGACGTGGATCGCGCGTCGCGCCAAAGCGTGGACCAGAACCAGCGGAGCGACACGACAGGCCAAATGTCTGGACCGTGAGGTGCCCCAAAGCCTCCGTGGGTCCCTGGACCACTTGGGGATACGCAGTGCCGGTGGTGCACACTTTGGCAGGCTTGTTTTTCTCGCTTGACGTGTCTACTCTAGTCCCACCAACACTTTCGGCGTCCTGTTGGTTATTTGGGGTGTCAGCCCAGGGTGGGGTGCTTGTAGTCCAGGCGGGGGGGGTCCCTGTAGTCCGAGGTGGTGTGCTTGTAGCCCGGAAGAGGGGGGGGCCCGCTGTAGTCCAGGGGAGGTCCCAATAGTCCGGGGGAGGGGGGCCCTTGTAGTCGGGGGGAGGGGCGCTTGTAGTCTGGGGGGGGGGGCCCTTGAAGTTAAGGGACCCCGAACTATTGAGGTACTCAGAGAACACCATTCTGACCCGCATCCACCCCCGCGGGGTGTGGACGACAGGGCAGTCGGGGGCTGCGCTGGATGGCTCCTGGAGGGCTCCGGGAGCCCCCCTCACTGCCTCCAAAATTCAGCGCAAGCTGGCCCGAGTTGGCCCCAGATGGCCTGCGGCATGCCTCCAGGAACCCCTCAAGACGGCCCTATGCCCGCGATACGAGGGACGACTTGAGAAGTCCAGAGCTCCAGTTCGTTGTTTTGGCATGGGGATGTGTCCCTGAGGCCTCGAGGTGGTCCCAAAATGGCGCAGGAAGCCCCAAGAGGAGCCGACAAGGCTGCTAAGAAGGCCCCACTGTGCACCAAGAGCGCCCAAAGAGAGTCCAACGAAAACAATATGCGAGCAAATAACTTGAGCCATCCTGATTACGGACGATGCGGATGATGATGCTGATGATGGTGATGGTGATGATGCAGATGCTGATGCTGATGATGCTGATGATGCTGACGATGAAAAGGATGAGGCAGAGGCAGGATGAGCGGCAGGAGCAGAACAATGACCATGATCAGGGGGACGGAGAGGAAAGGAACTGATGTTTACCTCCATTGTGAAACGCACGCGCAGAATGTTCCTGGCACCCTTGCCTGCCCGTCCAGCATATGGCTGCTATCCTACTTGTCAACATCCTTGTCGGTGTACTTGGCGCCCTTCTTGCCCTTTCCACTCTTGCGGTCTAGAAGGGCCTTGCGGTCTTTGTCCAGCTTGAGCTTGGTGATGGTGACCTGTGCACCGTGGGAGGGGGTGATGAGCCCTCAATCCTGGTCCCGTTGTGAGCCTGTCCCAGGTCGACACCTGCGACGAGGGCCCATGCCAGATCCCTCGGAGCAGCTCTCGCGCGGCAGACAGTGCAATAGAGAGGGAGAGAGAGCTGTCGGGGTCGAGGCTCGAGGCCTTGCGAAATGCTCGTGGACACAGCCCCACATCCCAGGGGCAGGGGCCAGAGGAACAAAGTGTGCGCTACCAGCTCCTCCGACGTCAAGGCCGTTTCAATGCATGGCCGACTCAAGAAAGTATGAACCCAAACATGTCGACGTCTTATTGCACCGACCTTGCAGACGTGATGCAGCGGATTTTCTGAATGGATTTCTGTCAATGCAAAACCACGAAACGGCGAGCGAAACACGAAGTGAATCTCACGTGGATGTGTTGTAGTCTCATTTCTGGCCACAGAAATCCGCACGAAATTCGCTTCGAAATCCGCAGCGAGATTCTCCAGGACAGTCTGGGCCCATCCCGTTGTTTTCCGAAAGATCCGCTCTGCGATGTCGGCGCCATGAGACGCCTCGCTTTTACATTCGCCAGCTTCAGGCGGGTGGTAATGGGGGGTGACCTAAATGGGGGGTGAAGAAAATGACTACCTACCAGACCACCCCAACCTAACCTGAAGACCCGAATTTCGGGTTGGGGGGGGTACGGGTTCTACACGTGGTTTTTCAATGTTCCCCGACCCCCCCCTACTGGAAACGGAGTGCAAATTGGGGACTTCGGGTTGGGTTGGGGTGGCTTGGTGGGCGGTGAGAAAAAGGCCCTAAAGGGGCCCTCTAGTGTCCTTTTCGAAGCCAGCAGGGGCATCAAAGGGGGCCCCAAAGGATCCCTCGAGGGCCCTTCTCTTCACCCCCTACGGCGATGGCGTTGGATATGGAAACCTTCGAGGAGGAATCCAGGGTCTGGAAGCCAGTGGAAAGCCAATCGTAGATCGGCCATGGATATCACCGCCGCCCTCATCAGAGAAGGAACCCTCCAGGGGCTGAAGCCTCCCGGGCACGCTCCTTCAAGAACGCCCCCACCGCATTCGGGTCACCCCACCATTACCTCGGGGGCGGGGGTGTCCAAGAGGGGAGGGTGCAAATCATGGCCGCTGGCACGTGCGCGGCCAAAGGGGGGGGCCAGGGACGTAATGAAATAAGAAGAGGCGCCATGAAATCTGAGGAAAAATCATGGCCCACGCCATGAAATCCACCCCCCCTAGTCATCACCCCCCTCTTTGCCGCCCCCGATTACCACCCGCCCGACAGCCTCTGCTGGCGGAGCCGCCCCCGCCGCCTCACGCTCACGCCGGCCTTCCGCCGAAGGCGACGCTTCCGCCGAAGGCGCGGCCCTCGCCGGAGCGCCTCGCAATGGGGGCCTGTGGGGGGGGGGCCTTGTGTGGGGGGCGCCGCAGCACGCAGGGACCCGGCGTCGCTCGCGCGGCCGGCCTGAAGGACTCGGCAGCCCCGGGGCTCGCCTGGGGCCCGCGGAGGCCGATTGCTCAGACGGAGCATCGCGCCATCCTCATTGCTTCACTCCCGGAAGACCTCGCCCGAGAAAGGTGATGTGTGTGTGTGTGCAGGCCAGGGCGTTGGGGTGCCCAGGGAGGGATGCCGGGTCCCCGGAGTCGGCGGCCCATCGTGGCCGGCCCACCGAGGCTGCGCCCCCCGAGATCGCTGGCCCCTCGTGGCCCCTGATCGTGCCCCCCCTTACAGACGGGGCGTTGACCTAAGGAACCCCAAATAAGGAACGGGGCCCCTCTTCTCCATGAGTTGAACTTCGATTTCCGATCGAAAACCTGAGGACAACCTGAGGCAAGCTGCGAAACACTTCAGGAACGCGGAGCCCCTCCCCAACGAAAAGGGTTCCTTCTTCAGGGCCCCGACTGTATCGTTGCTGTGTACAGCTGTTTGGGGTCTTCTCCTGGGTGTGATGACGTCGAAGGACCAGCTACCTGGAGGGTGCCCCCGGGCAAACAGCACGGCTTCTCTCTCCGTCCAGCCTTGGAGGGGTGAATGCCGATGGGCACGGTCTGCCCGTTCGCCTTGTCGCGCGTCACCCTCTCGATGTGGATCCGCCACTTTTTGCGGTACACCTGGGTCACCTCCCACAGACGTAGGTCATCCTCCTCCCCCTCTGCACCAATCTTCTACCCAGCGCATCTCTCTGGAGATGATGACCATGATGAAAAGGGGAGGAGGAAGAGGATGCGGATGCAGGTCATGAGAAAGAAAACACAATGGGGAGGGGAAGGCGGCGAGGAGGACGACGACAAGCACAAAGAAGAGGAGGACTGGAAATATTGAAGATGCGACGATCGAGCCGCAGCTGCATTCAGCGTTGGGCATACTCAATTGGCAGTGAGCTTAACCCTGCACAGGGGCAAACAGCGAGATGGGAAAACGGATAAGGATGAAGAGGAAAGCGGTACTGAGGATAAGAAACGGATTAGGAAATGATGGAAACAAACGTCAGAGGAATATTCGGGATTATCAGCAGGAGAAGGAAGAGCAATGGAAACATGCAAACGAGGATGTGGGGGGGAGAGGAATATATAGTTAGGAGGGGAGCGGGTGAAAAGGATGAGCACGCTCGAAGGAAAAGGGGCAGAGGAGGACGAGGATGGCTAGGCAGACGATGATGACGATGATGATAGTGATGACGAGAAAGAGGGGAATGGGAGGATCGGGGCGAGGCGAAGAAATACGAGGAAGAGAGCATTATCGCATCTGTGCTTCGCGCACTCGACGGGCTGCGCGCTCAACTGTTGCGACAAAAAAGCAGGTACGAGGAAATGGAGGGTGATACAGAAAAGGAGGAGGATGAGAAGGGCAAGGAGGATGGCACGAGCAGGGGCAGGGGCAGACGAAGGACGCACAGAAGGAGAAGGCCGCGGATGAGGATGTGAGGAAGGCAAAAGGTGGGGATACGCAGGGGAAGGAGGGCGAGGACCCCCCATAGAATCCCACACAACGACTCTTCACAACTGCAAGAAGCCCCGAAACCTCCTCTTCGTGAACCTTTCCGCCCCTCGTCAGCAACACGGCAGACGCGGGGCGCACAAAGAAAAGTAACCGCAGACCCGTAAGGGCGGCAAGGGCACCAACAGCCACGGCGCGGGCGCGGCAGGCTCTCAACCCTTCGTGGCCGAGGCGGCGGCAGAGCGAGCAGACGGGCAGGGGCCGCGGCAAGGCCAGCCCAAGCCGCGGTCGTGGCGACAACCAGACGCACGGGAGGAGCAGATGAGTACACGGTCCAACCCAACACCAATCTGACAAATCGCCTTGCCGGGCTGATTAAGAAAGTGCTTGCCACCACGCAGCAGGTAGCCACGGCCATGGCAGCCGTCGAAAGCGCACACCATTCCAGTTGGGAGCGAGGTGATCAAAGCGCATGGGGCGTGCATGACGATCTACGCAGACACGTGCAAGGACGCTGGCAAAGGACATCCTTTCGGGCCGCCAGAAGGGGCATCTCTACATGACACTTATGGCGACGCTCTCAACAGGGGGCGCTGGAGGCAAAACCAGGCACATACTTACAGAGCACGAAAAGTACATCATTGCAGTTTCAACTCACCAAGTGTCCACGAAGGTGAAGCACCTCAAACCCAGCAGCTGCTCCGAAAACAAGCAGGCGAAGCTCACATTCTACACGGAGGCAGCCCTCTGGACGGACACAGGGACGGAGGAGGAGGAACCGAGCGCCGACTGCATGCAGAAGGGCGGGCATCAACTAAACGATCCACCGAGCGCTGCAGCAGATCGGAGCCACTGTGAAGCAGGGGAAAGCGCCAGTGGGAACACGGAGGATGAGCTGGTGGCCTCGGCGGCAGGACTGTGACGGGAAGGCCGCGCGACGACGCCGCACTCGGCATCTGCGGGGCGGGCCCGCGGGGGCCGCGCGCCCCAGTGGAAGTGCCGCCCTGCTCGGGCGACAGCGGGGGTCTTCTCACATTTGCGGTGGACTGACGTCGCACCCTGAGGCCGCTTTTCGTTTTGTTCGTACGATCACTCCTCCGCATTCCTTCTCTTCTTGTCAACCTCCTCTTATCATTATTTCTATCATCCTTATTATTCGTAGTATTATTAATATTACTATTACTATGATTACTCCTCTTTTGTGTTCGATCCGTCCTCTTTTGGTTTGAATGTTGTCTTGCTGGTATAGGCAACATCATTACGACTATTATTATCAGTTGTCATTCTCCTCCTGTTCTTCTTCTTCTTCTCCATCATCATCATGATCAGCAACATCATCATCATCATCACCATCGTCCTCCACGCCCTCGCGGAACGGGAGGGCGTGGAGGACGATGGTGACAGGGCCCCTCCGCCCGGACTCCTGAAGGTTCCCCTTCTCTTCCCCCCCTTCTTCTTTCTACGTCCGCCCCCTCCTCAATCGGTCATCGAATTCCTACACTCATGCATCCCGCGTGGAAATATATATATATATTATATAATATATATATATATATATAGAGAGAGAGAGAGAAGAGAAAAAAAAAAAAACCAAAAAAAACAAAAAAACGAAACAAACAAAAAAAGGATGGCCCAACCCCCCCCCCACCTTTTGGGCGCGCTCCGCCAGCCCCAGTCACCTGTCGGAATTGCACCCTGACCGCCGCAAACGCCCCTCCCCCCCCCCCCCCCACACCGGCCCAGGAGGCCCACGACTCCCACAGCGCCCAAACACCCCCCCAATTGCCCAAGAGCGCTCCAAGGGGGCCGACAAGAGGCTTCTAGACGGCCACAGCAGCCATCAAGACGTCCCAAGAGGGCCTCAAAAGGCCCCAAAATATCGCCCACAGACGACCCAAGAGGCCCTCAAGAGGGCCCCAAGACTGGTCCAAGAGGGCCCGAGAGAGCAAGAGGGACACAAGAGGGCCCCTCGACGGCCCAAGAGGGCCCCCTGCTGGCCCTAAGACGGCCCGAGCCCCCAAGACGGCCCAGAGGGCCCCCGCCAGCCCAAAACACTCCCAAAAGGACCCCGAACACGGCCCAGGAGGCCCCCAGAGACTCCCAAAATGCTTCCACGAGGCCCCCCCCGACGCTTCCCAATTGGCCCCCCAGAAGCGCATGGGAGGCCTCGCGCCCGCGTCCTGCGCGGCGTGCCCAGAAGAGGCTCCCAGAGGCCCCCCCGTTCGCAAACCGCGCCGGGCTCCCAGAGACCCCACGGAGACGCGCCGCGTGGCCCCGAGCGGCCCCCCCAAAACGCCCCGAACTCGCGACCCAAGCCAGGTGTGCGCCGCCGTGGCGGCACGACGGCCCCGGCGGCGCGACCACGACCCCCCTCGCAGTCATGCCCGCGTCCTCGCTTCAGTGGGCGACCGCCGCAGTATCCCCCCGACGCAGCTCACTTCTTTTCGCTTCGGCCAGCTGTGAGCCAGTCGACGCCGCGAGCGCCAAGGCGCCCATGCGCCCCCCCAAAAGTCTGAGACCCCCCCCAAAAGCGTCCTCCTGGCCACCTCCCAAACGAGCGCATATCAGCCGGGTGCTGCTCGTCCTCCTCCATCGCTTCCCGCTCTGCATCTGCTGCTCGACCTCCTACTTCGCCACCGTCTTCCATGTTCGCCCCGTCGCCTTCGGCCAGCTGTAGGCCAGTCGGCGCCGTGAGCGCCAAGGCTCCCCAAAGCCCCCTCAACTCTGAGGCCCCGCCTAAGGCCCCCAAACAACACCCGGGCGACCTCCAAGACGAGCGGACATTAGTCATCGTCATCGTCCTCCACCGGCCACGAAACGACCAAGAGGGCCACGAGATGACAAATCAACCATTATTCCAAACCTGTTGGCGGACTCAAGTTCGGCGCACGCGGCCCCCAAAACGCCGCGGAGGCTCCGAAGAGGCCCTGAGACGGCGCAGAGGCCCCAAAAACGCGCAAGAGGCGTTGAAGCCTTGACCACGACAACGAACTTGTCATCGCACGCCCCTCTTCTCACGGCGGGGCTCGCCGCCCACTCCTCGAGCGATGACCTTCACACCCCTCGCGGTCATCGGCGTCGCCCCCTCGTCGCACCGACCCTTACCCCTCTCCGACGACCCTCGCGCCCACCCCGCCCCCCAATCCCGCGACCCCCACTCGCGCACATGGATTTTATGGTTGTTCGATCTCCTGACCTTCACCCACCTCGCGGTCATCGAATCAACTCTCTCGCTGCCGGAAGCGCGTTCCGTCATGACCTGTCCCCCTTCTGGCGAATGCGGGACCGTCTCTGTCGTCGTGCCAGCCATCCTCCTCGTTTTCGTCCTCCTTCTCTTCTTTTTCGTCCTCGCCGTCCTGGTTTGAACATTCGTCGTTTCTGTTTTTCCCTCCGTTGGCGCTCCTGGCATTGCTCCTTGAACGACATGACCGCGCCCCCGCTCGTAGTCGCCGTTTCCTCCCACCTCGAACGCGCGACTTTGGCCCCGTCACAACGATAACATTCGCCCCAAATCAAAGACATGCCCGTGGCCCGTTCCAGGATGATGACCGTGACCCCCCTCGTCATCACCATCTGATTTCACGAACTACGCATTCACCATGTGGTTTGGACTGCATGGGCGCAGACCAAGATTGAGGCGAAACGAGACGAGACCTCAAATGTTGTGTGTATATAAAACTGTACATCGGGACATGGAGGGGACGCCTTACCTCACAATCATGGTATGGCCAACCTTTACAATGGGGGGCGATACTGGATTCGCTTGGATAAGGGCCCAAGGGTTATCATGGGGGTTCTGGGGGATGCTCCCCGCACTCCATCCTCTTTCCTTCCACCCATAGGTACTACCACGCATGTTTTGTCCTACGTGCTTTCCTCCTACGTGCATCACTCTCTCCTTGCCATCGTGTGTATAATCAGATTATGGTTCTTCCTTGTCATCTTCATCGTCCTGTTCCTCACCACCCCCGTCTACGTTGCGTCCTCGACCGCGGCCTCCTTGTTTTCCTGTGCCTTCTGGGGAAGAGGGGGGAGGGGCGCCTTCCCCTCGCGATCGTGGTAATGCCCGCGCACGATCATCACCTCGTCGTCGCGGCGAATAGGGAGCGACCGCACCTCGCTCCGGGGCCGCGCGCCATCCCCCCTACCAGCGCGCCCTAGGGAGGAGGACCCCAACTTCGGATTCGCCATGCGTTGTTTGATGTTCCAATTTGCGGTTGGGCTGGACATGGGCCCCAAAGAATGCGAATCAGAAGGGCGGACATTTCTGCATCAGAAAAGTATTGCGGAACTGACGGCGGCAAAGGAAGGCGGAATAATGGGGACATTTCGCCTAGAAATTACGGTAGATCCGCACTGTCCACTGCGTGAGTGTCGATGAGGTTGCCTCGAACGTTGCCCTGCACACGAGCATTTGTGCGCCCGAAGGAAGCGAAAATTTTCAGGAGGACGAAGAGAAACGGGGAAACAAGGACCAAGCACAAGGGGGAAGAGGGGAAGGCGGTGACGACGAAGGCGGGCGAAAGGGGGGGGGCTGAGGAGCAGGAGCAGTGGGGACAAACAGGAAGAGCGGAAGAGGACGACGGGGAGGCAGATGATTCAAAAGGCAAAACTGGAGGACAATGACGAACAGGAGCGGGCAGAGACGCATGAACAGCAGGAAGGAAAGGCGGAAGAGAAAAGGAGAAGAGGGGGAAAAGGATAATGATGATAATAACAACGATTTGTTCAGTATCAGGGAGCACCAACCACTCCGCGCTTCACCGGAATGTCGCGGCTACCGCGAGGCGGCCGAGGCGGGCGTGGTGTCGCGGGCGCGCTCGAATGCCGCTTTGCTCGGCGGGCGGCACCCTATAGGCAAGCTACGTACTGATACCCTTTTTGTCCTTCGCGGCGTCGCGGAGGGCCTCGAACTCCTCGAACTTCGACTCTGGGATCTCACCCGCAGGCGGCACCTCAGCAGTCACGAACGGCTGCGCCAGGCGCCGCCTCCGAGCGTCGACGTCGGGGGCGGCTTCGGCTGCCCCGGCACCAGCAGCTCCGCGGCCCTGGAGTGCGGGGAGGTCGTCAGCCTTCGGCGGCGACTCATCGAAGCCTCCCAAGCCATCTTGTCGGCCCTTGCGAATTGACGCTAATCGAAGCTAGTCGACGCTAACAGACGCTCAATCGACGCAAACCGACGCTAAAGCGACGCTACCCCATCGACTCCCAAACGCTACTCGGCGCTAGCTACGGAATTAAGATGGTGTACCAGGCTCCCACGAGTCCATGAGTTGCTACCGCATCAGCCCAGGCCTCGTCCTCCAGCTCGTCCTCCTCCAGCGCCCTCCCGGCCTTGCCGCGGACGCCCTCCAGCGGCATGCTTCCCCCGCGCTCACGGGCTGGGCGAGTGCCTCGCGACCATCTGCGGACTTTTCTGCAGCCCCTCGGGTCGCGGCAGGAGCACGAGCCTCCGCACCCCGGGGGATTCCTGCCGCAGGAGGAGGAGCACGAGCCTCTGCGACAGCAGCGCGGCGCAGGAGGCGCGGCCGCCGCTCTCCGGCGGGGCCCGCCGCCAGCCCCCGCACCTGCCGAGGACTGCGCCCTGCGCTCTCCGCCGACGCCGCCGCCGCGACTCCCCTCGGCCGCAGCGCCGCTCCCGTCCCGGCCTCGCCCGGCCGTGCGCCCACCGCCGCCGCGCCGCGCCCAGGCCACCTCCGCCGGGGGGCCAGGAGCATGGCAAACCGACGCCAACACCACCAGGGAGCACCAGCGGGAGGATAGACGAAGAAGAAGAGGAAGAAGAAGGCGAAGAAGAAGAAGAAGAAGAAGGCGAAGAAGAAGAAGAAACAAGGGCATGAACCCTCCATTCTGGCGCTCCGCGCGGATTTCTTGGATCGGCGATGTGTGCCCCCCCTCCCTGGCGCGCGGAGCGCGCCAGGTGGCGGCGCCGGAAGCGCCGCCAGGGGGGGGGGGGCCAGCGCGGATCCAAGAAATCCGCGCAACGCGCCAGAAGTTTATGTTTATGACTTTTTGTTGTTTATGACTTTTTGTTTTTCTTCGAGAGCAGCCAGGGAGCAGCCCCCCCGCCGCGCGCAGCAGGCGGATCCCCAGGGGGGACCGCCCAGCCGCGAGCCCAGATGCGCTTGGGGCCGCGAAGAGAGCTCCGCGCGCAGCCTGGATGACGCCGCGGAGCTTTGCACTGGGCTGCGTACTCGGCATCGGCGAGGTGGCGACGACACAAGGCGAGCCTGCGACACAACGCTTGATCGACATGGGCACCGAGGATAAGGAGGATGAGGAGAAGGGGAAGCGCGCAGGAGGAAGAAGCCGGCGTGAAAGAGAGAACAGGAGGGGGAATGCAGGATGAAGGCGAAGAGGGAGGGAGGCAGGATGGAGACAAGGTAAAAAGAAATGGTCGGGCAATGGCAAGGCGAGGATCTGGCCTCTGCCACCGCTCCCCCTTTCTCCTCCTAGCGTTTCCCGTCCTCATCCTCCTCCTTATCCTCCTGATCGTCTTTATCCTCCTGATCGTCCTCCTCCTCCTCCTCCTCCTCCTCCTCTTCCTCCTCCTCCTGCCCTATCTTATCCTCCTCCTCCTCCTTTTCCTCCCACTTCGTTCCCCCTCTCCTTCCTCCCCGTTCGCCTTCCTCTCCCCTCCTCCTAATGGCCTGCCCAAAATGCGTACGGAACACGACAGGTACGATCCTCGAACGCAGACGCTGCCCAATACCGACAGCGGCCGCTGGTGGGCAGGCGGACTCCTGCAGCTTCAGCGGACAACGCCCGCGGCATCGACTCCGGTCCAGAGTGGGCAGAGACTGCTGTTGAGCTTCGTCACCGCCCCAGGCCCCCAACGTTATGTATTTTTTCACAGCGCCGACCAATCAGAGGTCTCGACCGATTACCCTGGGCTGGTTGTTCATCCCGAGTCGCTTTGTTGACGGTCCCGAGGGCCCGTAAGGGCCTCCAGAGGCCGAGAATACGGAAAAGACCTCCTGTTATAATCTTTGTCCACTGCCCGAGGGTGTGGGGGTCAGGGCCTCCCGTGTCGGGCCTTCGCCAGACCCCCAGGCCCTCATCCGTCGGGGCAGTCTCAGGTCGGGCATGCCCCCCTACAGGCGGATTCTTGGGGGACCAATCAAACAACATACCAACAAATAATCAGCACAGAACCAAAACATCGTCCCAAGATAGTTTTTTTGTTATCTGTTCTTGTCTACTCCCTCCACAGGGAGGGACACGCCCGACGCAAGGGGCAGTCGGAGCTGCCGCGGCCCGCCGACGGCAAGCAGGCCGCGCGGGGGGGGGGCCCTCGGCGTGGCGAGGGCGCTGCCCCCCTTGCCCCTGCCCCGCGGGGGGGGGGGGCCTGGTACTTGCTTCGGAGGTCCTTGCTCAGCGGGGCGCTCATCAGCTTCCTGTCGGGGGCGGAGGGGGGCGGGCGGGAACGAGAGGGGGGGACGGGGGGCGGCAGTGGAGAGAGGGAGGGGGAACATGGGGAGGGCCATCCCTTCCGGTTTCCTCTCCCTCTCTCCATGCTCGCTGCGATTTCATGCCTCATCGATCCATCTGCCGCTGCAGTGCAGCATGTCAGCGGGAGACGGGATCTGTGGGGCGAATCAGCACTTGTTTGACAAAGACAAGGACCGATAACTCGGCTGGGGCAACAGGTTGCTTTGATATGTACTGCGCATCTGAGACTTCCTCAACTGACTTGGAGTCGAAGATGCTTCGCCAACAGATCTGCGGTTTGCTCTTGATAGCGTCTCCGCGCGTTCCTGGGCGGGGTGGGCTATTGGGCCTCTATCGGCCATGAGTGAGCGATTAGGGGTCGACGCATAATCCGCTGAGCGTGTCACCCCCTGACATTGCCCCTGCAGGTCAGACTTCTGAGACGCCACCCGGGCTTCAGACTCCGAAGGGTGCCTGCGACCGAGTCCGATACCCCGGCGGGCATGTCCGATGCCCACGCGTCGAGGGGCGGGGTCCGCACAGGGTCGCAGAGCAGGGAGGGGGGGAGAAGCGCCGTCGGCAGCCGGGCCGCCCTTCCCAGAACTCCGACGTTGCGATGTTTCCCCCGAACCCCACCAGACCTCCGAGGGGCTTGACGAAATCTCTTCCTCTCCCTTCCGAAACCCCTCCTTCCCCTGCTCAGGGGAGGGGTTCACCGTTCACCCCTCCCCCTACCCCCCTGAGCCTGGGAGGGGGGGGGCGGAAGGCTCAGAGCGTCCAAGACGGCCCAAGATGGCTCCAGGAGGGTCTCAGAGAACCCACAATGGCCTCCATGATGTCTCCAGATACCTCAAAAAGCTGGCTCAAGATAGCCTCCGACAAACATCCAAGAGACCTCAAGACGGCCCCAAGACGGTTTCAAGTGTCCTCCGAGCCCTCCCAAGGACCCCCCGAAGAGGCCAAACTGGTGCCCCAACCGAAGGGCAATCACTGCTGTTTGGTTTTTCGCCTTTTCGCTTCTGATGGGCTCTTGAAGCCATAGTCCCAAGACGGCCCAAGAGAGCGCCAAGATGGGCCCAGGAGGGCCCCAAGAGGGTCCCAAGAGCTCCCAAGATCACACCAAGAGCGCCCCAAGACGCCATGTTTGAGCCTCCGATGGGGGAAGGCTGAACTTAGGACCCCTATCGAACAGTGTGCCCACAACTGCCTCAAGAGGCCTCCCAGACCCCCCCAAAGAACCCCGAGAGGGCTCCTAGACCCTCCAGAAGAACTCCAAAAGGGCCCGAAGAGTGCCCCAAGTGGCTCCGCGAGGACCCCACGAGTGACGCAAGATGGCTCCAAGAGACCTCCGAGAGAATATCTCCAAGGCGATTGTTACACTGCATGCTTCTACACTTCCCTGGTCACGGCAATTCGCCTGGCGATCTGCTTCTGGATGGGTTGGTGGGGATACTTTTTTTGTCAGCGGCCGTAGGCGAGCGCGCCAGCGGAGAGTCCAGTCAGAGCGGGGCGCGCAAAGACGAATTAACCTAAAGCGGTAGGCCGGAGCCTCACGAAGCACCTCAGTGGCGGGCCGGCGAGTGGAACGGGCTGGCGGTAGGCTGAAAAACAATACTGCCAGGGGGCACGTATGCAACGCGCCGGCTGGTGGGGACACGCGAAGCGTCTAGAATGTGTCCCCGGGGGCCAGCTCTTCGTGCCGAGTCGCTTTTATTGCGGGTCCCGGGGTCTGGTCTTAGGTTGGGCGTGTCTCCCTACAGGCGGATTTTGGATGAGGCAAAAAGGGCAACAACATGTTCAAACAATAAAAACATACTCAAAACATCCTTCCCTGTTATTCTTACTATTTTTAAATGCTCCTCGTGTAGAGAGACATGCCCGACTTAACTCTGGTGAGGCCCCCTGGAGGCCCGAAATGGCCCGAACACATCCCCTCGCGCTTTCAGTCCACGACGGGCTGAGGTGGGGCTCCTGCGGACGTGCGACGGGGCGGTGAAGTACGCCTTGCGCGACTTGCGCCGGGAGACGCTGACGGTGGCCTTCTGCTTCATGGCGGGCCAGCGGGCTCTGGGTTCTCTCTCTCTCTCTCTCTCTGGCCCCTGCAGCGCGGATGCCGTACGATCCAAATGGCTCAGGCACACAGCGTTGATCCCTGACCCCCGACGTCATGATTTCTTCATGACGCCGACCCTCAAGGGTCTCGACCCAATCAATCCTCTGCACCGGATTTTCATCATGAATGGTTCTTTGACGGTCCCGAGGGCCGGTAAAGGCCTCCAGAGGCCAAGAATACGAAATTATCCCGGCAAAGCAACCTAACAGCCATGTGTAGGAGCATATCTGGAAGCATTCCCCTTAAGATTCGGATGAGAATCCAGTTGTAGAATTCTGCTGTTCTCGCAGTCGTTGTCGCATTCGCGAGGACAGTCGCAGTGGCAACGGCAGTCGCAGTCACAGCCTCAGCCTCAGCCTGCCTCAGCCTCAGCCTCAGCCTGCCTCAGCCTCAGCCTGCCTCAGCCGCAGCCTCAGCCTGCCTCTGCCTCAGCCTCAGCCTCAATCTGCCTTCAGCCTCGGCTTCAGTCTCAGCCTGCCTCTGCCTCAGCCTGCATCAGCCTCAGCCTCAGCCTGCCTCAGCCTCAGCCTGCCTCAGCCTCAGACTCAGCCCTCAGCCTGCGCTCTGCCTCAGCCTCAGCCTGCCTCCATCAAAAAACAACAAACAAAAACAAATCACAAAAGAAAAAAAAAAAAAAGAAAAAAAAACAAAGAAACACAACAAAAAAAAAAAGAACATCACAAACAACAAAAAAGACAGCCTCAGCCTCAGTCTGCCGTCGGCCTCGGCCTCAGCCTCAGCCTGCCTCAGCCTCAGCCTGCATCAGCCTCAGCCTCAGCACGAAGCGACCAGCTAGAAGGACAAAGCGCTGAATGTACACCGATGTGTTCGACGACTGCGTATGTAATGATGTGACGATATACAGACTGAGCCCTTCGTGAATGTATACATGTTTTTCTGACGCCTACAAACGGCGCTGACGTGTGTGAGAAAATTGTCCGCGCAGCAAAAGCCGGCGAAGCGTGCGGGAGCTCGCATGCTGAGACAGACTACGTCTGCAGACCGCCAGCTGCAAAAAGTTGCGAGCGGTTCTTGGAAGATGTTTACGGAACGGAGCTACGGTGTCTGAAAACATTGGCATCGAAGGGAAGAGCCTCGGAGCCCTGCAACCTGAGAAACACCGCAGGAACTCGCATACTGAAAGGGAATGCATTGCAAACCGCACGCTGCGAACCCTGCAGGCTGAGAAGCACCGCAGGATGTCGCATGCTGAAAAAGCACTTGTACTGCAGAGCGCCAGCATCTATCTCGGGCTCGGACCCCCCCGTCCTGATCCAGAACGTGTCCGGCCACGGCCTGAAAATGCCGTTCCAACTCCCGAGGATCAGCTGGCACTCCGGCTCTGGGACACTCCAGTACGTCTTGTGCACCTTGAGCCAGGCCCCATCTCGGGATCCCCACAGCACGCTGTACTTGACCGAGACCGTGCCGAACTCATAACAATTGACCTCCGAAGGACCTGCGAGTGCAGGCTGAGAAACAACACGCGATTGCAGGGCACGGCATTGCGTGTCACATGAGTGCAGGCTGAGAAGCACCACATCTCGTTTGCCAGAGATCACTCCCAGGTTATTTGATCCCGCAACACCAGCCACGGCGTAGCTGCCACAGGGGCCGCAGATAGCAACGGTTCGGTCACCCAATTGGCGTTCCGGTGAGTCACAATTCGCGCGTGGCTCCACGAGCCTGTGTAGCGCGATTTGCGGGGCACCAGTGTGCTGCAGGTGTTGTTGCCGTAGCAGAAGACGGCCTCTGGAGCCCAGTGCGGATTCCAGCGGACAGCGTAGACACTGTGGACGCCATTGCGGATGACGTCGCGCGCATCTTCGATATGTGCCACCCATCGAAGCCAGTCAAATGCTGAGCCATCGGTGATGTCAAAAGCACCTGGGGCAGTCTCGCCATGGTGGTAGTGCAACAGCGATTGGAGAGCGGCGCTGGCTTCGTCGCGGCCCACAATCTGGCGCGAGCAGGCTGCCTCTTGCAGGTGCTCCTGTGTGAAGAGCAGTGTGCATCACCGCCAGTCTCGGCAGGCTGAGCAGCGCCACCGTCAGGCACGGCAGTCTGAGCAGCGCCGCCACGAGGAACATGAGGCTGAGCAGCGCCAGGCTCAGGCACGGCAGGCTGAGCAACGGCGCGTGGTGGACCGACATAGGTGGGCTCATCGGGTCGGCCGTTCTTATGGTAATGCAGGCGCATGGCTGAAACGTCTGCACGACGGAACTCGAAGAAGTGCCTGCCGTGGCCATCCGTGTTGGAGTAGTTAGGGTCGCGCTCTGTCTCGATGATGCGAAAGAGAACCTGGGCGATGCCCTGCCCGTTTATGCGCTCAGCGAAACCCGGAGCGGCAGACCGAAGCAGTTGCTTCCAGTCGTAGGACGGGTCGTTTGTTACGTCTTTGAACGACAAGTTGTTGACAATGCACTCGGCGCGCAGCGCGCGCTGCCTCTGGCAGGCGGTCTTGCCGCCCATCCCTGGTGTACGGCGGATGTCTTCGAGGTGAGCCTGCTCAAAGACCACGTCGACACCTGGCTGAGGAGTCGGTGCGGGCGGATCCGGCAGAATCTCCCACGGGCCATCGCACGGGGCCGGGGGTGGCGGGGGCGAAGCCTTGCCGCGTGCTGGCATTGTGACAAGGCAGGCTGAGGAGCACCGCCGCGGCTGGACGGCCAGGTGAAACTCGAGCAAACATGGTTAAGGATGATGTTGATGGTGTTGATAGGAAACCCGGTATCAGCGAGTTGATGTACAATGAGGTGTCCGCAAACGAGACACTGCTGTCAACGCTGTTATAACTAACCACAAACGAGACACTGCTATCAACGCTTGCACAATTTAAAAGAAACGCTGGCATTGACACTACTAGCAATACCAAAGTGGAGTTTAAACGAGGCACTGCCATCAACCGATTCAACTTCCAATGAAAGAAGATCACAAATGAGTTCACTCTGAAGTGACCCATGGGTATCAATGCGAGAAGTCTCTGCAGACTATTCACTCATGGCGACCGCCGCGCACACGCGTGTAGGAAATCGTTGATGATGATAGTGATAATGGAGTGGGGGCCAGTAATGCAGATACACTGCTGTGCATTCACTTGCTGCGAAAAGAAACTCTGCATGAATGAGTTGATATATAATGAGTTGTCCACAAACGAGACACTGCTATCAACGCTTGTATAAGTAAAAAGAAACGCTGCTACCGACACTTCCCCCAATACTAAAGTTGTCTTTAAACGAGTCACTGCCATGAACGGCTTCAACTACAGTGTAACGAAAGGAACTGCAGGCTGAGAAGCACCGCAGGCCAACGTGAACCAGTCGCGGTGATGAGGATGAGTGAAATCTGCGATGGTGATAGCGATCATGAAGTCGGTTGTAGGAACCCACTTTTGTAGTAACCAACATACACTGGTATGCATTCACTTATGGTGAAAGGAAACTCGGTATCATTGAGTTGATATAGAATGAGTTGTCCGCAAACGAGACACTGCTATCAACGCTTTTAGAACGAAGCGAACCCATCAGAACACTGTTATCAACGGAAAGAATGCTGTAGAAGGACAAAGCGCTGAATGTACACCGATGTGTTCGACGAGTGCGCATGTAATGATGTGACGATATACAGACCAAGCCCTTCGTGAATGTCTACATGTTTTTCTGACGCCTACAAACGGCGCTGACGTGTGTGCGAAATTTGTCCGCGCAGCAAAAGCCGGCGAAGCGTGCGGGAGCTCGCATGCTGAGACAGACTACGTCTGCAGACAGCCAGCTGCAAAAGGTTGCGAGCGGCTCTTGGAAGATGTTTACGGAACGGGGCTACGGTGTCTGAAAACATTGGCATCGAAGCGAAGAGCCTCGGAGCCCTGCAGCCTGAGAAACACCGCAAGAACTCGCATACTGAAAAGGAATGCATTGCAAACCGCACGTTGCGAACCCTGCAGGCTGAGAAGCACCGCAGGATGTCGCATGCTGAAAAGCACTTGTACTGCAGAGCGCAGGCTGCGAAACCTGCAGGCTGTGAAGCACCGCAGGAACTCGCATGCTTTCGAACACTACTGCTCGAGACCGCAGCTGGAGAGCGGCAGACCGCAGGCTGAGAAGCACCGCGGGCAGGGAGACTTGCAAAACTCAGATGTCCTGATCGTCTTGGAGGAAGTCGCGCCAGTCCGGCGGCTGCCAAGAATCGATGATGCGCCTGGAGCCACCGCCCGTGCTGCCGCCGATGTCCAGGTAGTCGCCATCGCCCCTTAACAGACGGCCGTGCCCCAACGCCAGAATCGCTCGGTTGCGGATTTGAAGCAGCGCTCCGCTCTCAAACATCTGCAACACGTCCAGCTGCCTGCGCGTGAAGTTCGGCTTTGGCTGGCCAGCCTGGGCAGACAGATGGAGGGAAAGCCGCTCCCCCTCGTTGTAGCGCGCGATGGCCTCGGCCTTCTGGTGGTGCAGCCGGCGCCGCTGTTGCCGCAGAGCTTCCTCGGGAACTGCTGCATCACGGCCCTCGCTGCGATCAGCTTGCAACGCTTGCGTTAGCCAATCAACGTCGAAGCGCCCTGAGAAGGCCAGCACCTCCCAGATCTGTTTGGTACCGGCCACACGTTGCAAATGGCGATGCAACCGCTTACGCTTCTGGTCTTTCACAAACTTGGCGACGCTACCCAGACCTGCACCCTTGGCCTGGCCACCTTTTCCCGCAGGCTGAGAAGCACCGTGAGAAACTTTCTTACCGCCTGGCCCTTTGTTAGGACCCTGCGGAACCGCATGGCCCCCTTGTGGCGCAGACTTGCCTCTCGCTTTTCCCTTTTCGACATCCCGTTCCTGAAGCGCACGCTGCTGCCGTGACTGCTCGTACTGGTCGCGAGCTACTCTGACCAATTCCTGGCGCTCAGGCTCCGTGAGAACGTAGCGCATGTCGTCGATGTTCTTGCTCCGCAGAAAG